TCGGATGACATCTGGGTGTGTACCAATTACGGAACATGCTCTTTGGGTTGTCAGGGGTATCTTGAGTTTTCCAGCAGTTGACGTCTGTGCTCCTGAGTGGACTGGTGAAATTTGCAATGACTTATATCGACGACATCTTGGTGTTTTCCACGGATCCATAGGAACACTTTCACCATTTGCAACTGGAGTTTGAGCGATTGAAACAACAAGACCTAAAACTTAAATTGCCAAAACGTCAATTTGTAAGGGATGAGACTAATTACCTAGCATTTGTTATTGACAAGAAGGGGGTGAAACCCGATACTGACAAGGTGGTTGGTGATAAGGTCAATGCCGGAGCCTCAATCAGTGAGAGAGGTCAGAGGATTTATTAGGGTCGTGAAATATTATAGATAATTTATCCCCGGATTCTCTAGGATTACGACACTCCTAATCAATCTGACTAAACAGCACACTAGATTTCAATGGACAGAGGATTGTCAGCGATTCTTTGATACCCTGAAGGAAAAAATAAACGGCGGTGCTATTGTTGGCGTATCCAGACATGAATAAGCCAATGGCCTTGTGTACAGATACCAGCAACACCTGTATTGGGGCTTGCTTAACGCAACACTGTCAAGAATGGGGGGGGAGTTTAGTTGCAGGGGTGAAAGAAGAAATTCCTTGTCCCACAAGCTCTCACCAACTCAGCTGAGGTGGCCTGTGATCGAGAAGGACGCATATGCCATCGCGTATGCCTTGCAGATGATGCCTTACTACTTGGACGGGGAAGAGTTTGTGATAAAAACGGATCATAAGCCGTTAAAATATTTGTTTGAGGCCGATTGGACAAATAGAAAGATTCAAATGTGGGCCTTGAAGCTGAGTGGGTACAACTGTAGAATAGAATATCTGTCAAGTAAGAAGAACGCATGCGCAGATCTATTGTCACGGATTCCTAAATGGTTAGAACAAGAATCAATGTTGGATGTTCCTGAGGTGGCTGAAAAGTCTTAGAGAATAGGTGTGTTTAACTTCCACCAGTTGGAGGAGTAACCGCTATGGAGGGATAACGAAGAAGAAAAATCAGAACTGAAAGTGTTGACCATGTTCACCATAGTCTATGAATGTAGAATACAGCGCAGTACGTAATCTGTTCAATGAAACAACGTTTAATACTCTCGAGTCAGACACTCTACTGAATCTGACTATATCGCCAATACCACCAGCAGCAGCAGCAGCAGCTGTTCCGTAATTCTTCAGTCTTCGATATCAAAGGCTGGCCGTGAGTATTCAGGAAAAAAACATGGCCGCCTTTATACACGTCGCATTGAATATTTTGAGCCTTCTGATTGGTTAACCCTTCTATTGGTGAACTATAAAACGAGTCAGCTCATTTTGGCTGGCTCACTAGTACACCAGGGTACCCAAAAACTCCAACAGAAAGAAGAAAAACATGTGCTTGGTGAAGAAGCCTTGGGAGATTATCCGAACGACGAAGAACTGCTACCTCTGAAGAAAGCAGTCGAAAAGGGAATTCTGAGCGGAGCAAAAGCCAAGAGGTTTGTGGTCCTAAGTAGAGCACTATATTTTATATCAAATGTAGATGGCAATCCGAAATTAAGATTGTGTGTGGCAAGAGGGCATCTTCAAGAGCAAGTCTTAGAAGGGTATCATCAAAAGTTGGAAGACTTAGGAGTGGACAAAACATATGAGTTAACCGGAATTACTATTGGCTAGGAATTTACAAGGATGTAAGAGCATATGTTACAAGTTGTTTAACCTTTCAAGCAAGGAGCGCGAGAAATGAGGAAGCACTATTAATGGAGATGGACGTGACCTTTTATCGTTTTGAGAAGGTCAGCATGGACGTGTCAAGCCCAGATCATGAGAGGTCTAGGGGAAATATCTACATAGTGAGCTTTGTGCACTGGCTCACAAATTGGGTAGAAGCCTATGCTGTGAAAGATAAAACATCTCAGACAATGGCACAATTAATATTAAATAAGATGTTCCCAAGAGTGGGGCAATAGCCGAATTGGTCACTGATAATGTAGGAGAATTTGTGAATGCGGTAATGAAGGAGACTCTAAAGTCTTTGAACATCAAACACATCTCCGTATCAGCCCCAAGGTAATTCCAAGGTAGAACGATTCCATAGGTTTTAAGGGAGACATGTTAGCAAAATTATCTGAAAGAGAGAACGAGAATGGGATTTATTCTTGAATCAATCAGCTAGATTCTCAAGAAATGAAACTAGTAGATTCTCTCAATAATAATAATAATAGCTGGCCACTCGTACTCGAGGGTACCCGTCTACTAGGGCGGCTAGTCAATCTGCATTGTAGACTCTCGCTCAGGCACATTTGTGTTTGATTAACACTCACAGAGCCAACCTCTGCAACTATGCTGAGCAGACCTTAGTTACAGTTTCTGGGAGAAAGCATGTTATCTATAATGATCAACAATGTGAACAACACCAGCACACTCAAACCCTCGGTCACGATGACTTAGGACTTCGTGCTAACACAACTATCAAACGGCCCCAAGTGTTTCGTCTACCCAATTTTACTCACAAGGCTTTGGTCAACGCTGGGATTGGCGCCCCTCCAGACCGATGTCTCCTCCCTGACAAATCGATCATGGTGAGATTCGAACCCAGGTCTTATGATCAGAAAGCGAACGCTCTAACCACTCGCCCATTCTCTCCATACTACATGGTTTTCGGCATAGATGTGGTGGTACCTATTGATAATCTCCTGAAACCTCAAAGAAAATATATGGTTGTAGACATTCATAGGATTGTGAATGAACAACAACACTGTATCTTTGTATAGGCATTAAATCTAATTTCGAAGGCACAGTGTTCTCTATCTGAGACAAGGTAAATTGGATCAAAAGTGGAGGCCGTACTACAAGATGGTGGAGCAAACAGGGCCGCTAACTTTTAAGATTTGGGATCAACTGAGAAATAAAGTGAAAGTGTACATTCTAACAATATAAAACGAGCAAGAATCAAGGAATGAAATATTTCTGTGGTCACATAGAAGGGAAGACCAGTAAAGGCAAGTAACGTTGGCTGAACCTAGTATTACATTGGAAGTAGATGATTCTGGAATTAAGGTAGAACTAATACCCCAAGGAACAAGTCCGGGGGTGGGGGAGCAGCGAGAGGGAAGAACAATGGAGCTCCGTAGACGAAGAGACGGATGAATAGGATAAATAAGATGAGACAGAATTGAAATGGCGCCTTGAGACAAGAGCTAATGGTGTCCAGGGAGCAATCCCGCTGAAAAAAAAAACTGAGAAATGCCACAAGGCAAGGAAAAACTGATAGACATGCGCAAGAATCGTCAAAGCAGATGAAAATGCAGGAAGTATTCCCCAAGTGGAAGACAAAGACATTGAGATGAATGTATGACGGAGAACTCTAGGGTGAGTCGGGTTTGTCTGGGGATAGACAAAGGCCTCTTTCTTTGTATATGTTGTAAGGACTTAATTAAATGTCACAAAATTATAAGAGAATGAAACCAGAAGGGCTAACAGACATTCAAGGAACTAAAAAAAAAAGCGCCTGTTGTCATTGTAGGATGCCTGGATGGGGGATATTAATGCTTTTCGGGCCGATTGTCGGAGCCGATGCACTAAGACATACTCAAAGTAGTCTTTAAGAAAACCATTGATCTGGGTGATCGATATCCGGTCCTACAAGACATTATTGAAAAATTGGAGACTAAGATAAAACGAGTGAGAGACGCCAGAGAAAGAGCAGTGAAGGTTCACTCCAGTGTCAATGAAACAGTGTACCTGAAGCTAATGTTTATTGTCGCCCAACGGCATGAGAGATTAACAAGAAATCGACTTACCGAGAAAGAGGAGGAGAAGTGAGCAATAATTCCTTTAGTGGGAAAAGCGTTACATGTACTCTGTGGCACAGTTACTGAAACCGACCTGAAATTAAAGGAAAGGTTGGAATTGGTAGCAAGGAACCAAGAAAAGCTAACATATTGCTCAGTGTCATGGGCCCTTACCTATAACTACAGAATGAACTCTTCCTAACTCTATGTATACTACGCCTCTCAAGAGAGAGGGACGAATCAAGCCGAGCTTCTCGACTTGACGGTCGAACTCTCTGCTTCTGAGCAGAAAGGAACCCGGACGAGGCTCAGCCGAAGGGCAGAGTCTCGTTCGGGGAGAATGACCAACTCGATCTCGTTTATACGGGTTATACGGGCATTTTTTTGCCGAGCCTACGGGCTCGGGAAACCCACGTAAAAACTCAGCCTTGTGCCACATGCAACCCTCGTGGGGGGGCTATATACCGAATCAAGCCAAGCTTCTCGGCTTGACGGTCGAACTCTCTGCCTCTGAGCACAGAGGAACCCGGACGTGGCTCCTCCGAAGGGCAGAGTCTCGTTCGTGGAGGTTGACTAACCCGATCCCGTTCATACGGGTTCTACGGGCATTTTTTGGTCGAGCCTACGGGCATTTTTGGCCGAGCCTACGGGCTCGGAAAACCAACGTTAAACTCGACCTTATGCCATATGCAACCTTCGTGGGGGAGGGGGTGGCTAGATACTGAATCGATTCGAGCCGATAGTAGTTCACCCCAAACCAGACTGACAGTCATACTAACACCTTCCACATTTTGTATTATTATTTCGTGTAATATACCTTCGTTATTTCTACTCTTGTGTTCGTGTTGTTCTTCCTTGGTTCTAACCTGGACCATAACAGTGGCGACGGGGATGAAATAGAAACGAATTCTACGCGGAGGATATATATATATAAAAATATTAAAGACCCCTGCGAGGTAAAAGCTTGGGAGGTGGTGTTAGGGGTCCTTACCTATAACTACAGAATGAACTCTTCCTAACACTATGTATACTACGCCTCTCAAGAGAGAGGGACGAATCGAGTCGAGCCGATAGTAGTTCACTCCAAACCAGACTAACAGTCATACTATCACCTTTCACATCTTGTATTATTATTTCATGTAATATACCTTCATTATTTCTAATCTTGTGTTCGTGTTGTTCTTCCTTGGTCCTAACCTGGACCATAACACTCAGGAAAGCGCGTCGATCCTGGACGTGACAAGGACCGAACTGGCACAAAATAGGCAAAGAGTAAATTGGATATTAAGTACAATTCAAGAAATATCATGGGAATTCGGATTAGTGAGCAACCAAACGAGTTGGAGATGGCAATGAAACAGATCTTGAAATTGACAGCTGTAAAAAAAATTCTCGACTGAATCAAGCCTACCAGTCGTTATTTCTATCACTTGAACATGTTAGGATCCAAATGGACCTGTTGTCATTGGGGCATCTACCACCAAGTGTGGTGAGCTCACTACATTTAAGGGATTCAGTCACTGTTCAGACTGCCAACCGACCCCACAAAAGACTTATGACTTTATTTTAGGTCCCTGGGATGCACTACTCTTATCACTGAGGATAAAATAGTGGCAATCGTATCTCTGCTATTACTGGATATAGACAGTGGTTTTAAAATGTTTAAGGTAGTAAACTTACTTGTTCTTTATCCAGCCAGAGGAGGAGGAGGAGGAAGAGCAGTAGCCAAGTATAGATTGGAAGCAGCCATATAGCAGTGAATCTGGCAATTTACAAGTTTATGAAATTAACGCCACAAGAGGCCATGATCTGTAAAATGAATGTGTTGAAAGTGTGTCCAACCAGAAGCACAATCTATACGACCAGAGAATACAGGATGTGTGTGATGGAATTGTTTAGGGGACATGAGAGGATGGTTAAAAAAATTTGTCAAGTTGATGTAATGACGGGGGAAGTTTTAACCCAGGCAGTGTGTATATCAGAGGGGATATGAGCTATTGCGTCAAATAAGCCTACTGAACTGACTAAAGTGTGGGAAGGGCAGAAAAAGTGGGTTATAAGAGTGATTTCACCTTTAATTATCATTAGTTTAGAAATGGGACGTGCCGCTTTTGGAGCAAACTTAAATACTTTACTGTTTTACCAGATAGAGGAAAGGGTTGAAGCTAGTGATGACTTTTTGTCCCTTGCGAACGTGTCGGCCAACAACTGAGCTGAGTTATGGAATCCATTGATCTGAGAATTCCCTATGATCGCCTAGGGGCTTATCAGACGAATATGTGAGGTTGTCATTTTGAATTCAGATTAGTTTGAAGGTTGGCGATATTTAAAGTTTGGATTGGTTAAAAAAAATAGAGGAATTGACCTTTTTAACCCTTCTCGTGATCGAAGAACTGTGAGAAATCCCGTGGGCGGATGGGTCTTCATATATACAGCATTTTAGCGTAGAGCATTTTAGCGTACAACATTTTAGCGTACAGAGAGAGACGGGAGAATTGAGAGGAGAGATACATCGAAGGTTGGCTGATCAACAAATACGCAATTCACCCCACCTGAATTGACCTCGATATTTGATTCTCTGATAAAAGTTTGAAAATACATACTTTGGTTCCAAGTCGTTACCGTCTCCAGAGGTGTCAAGCTATATCAATTTTTTGTAAATATTCTATCTTTATTTACTGTTGTGGTAGGATCCACCTAATTTGCATAGTGGAGTGCCGACCATATAAATATGGTTGGTACCGGGAAGAGAGGGAGGAATCAAGAGATTCAACCAGAGACTCTGCCCGACTGCGACTCAGTCAACACATTCTCCAGGAACGGTCTTACCAGGAATATACAAAAGACTATATGTAAATATTGTGTACACTTTCTTGTTTCAATACATTTTGTTCTAAGTATATTTTGTGTTGCATTATTATTCCATGCATTACTCAAGTTTCAACAATTTACTATTGTTAAAACTATCATTTTCAACCAAAATCAGGCCTTCTCCTTCTATCGACAAGAGCACGTCTTTCTTTTCTTCAGCCTCGTCGCCAAAGAAGATACCACGTCTTATTAAACCAAGAGGAAGAGCAACACCGTTTTTCTTGTCAGTGAGAAACACAACATTTACCAGCAACTCTATACGACCAACGATCTAACTGGCATCAACTCCTTGGCCAGTTTAAAACTGTATGTAAACAACCTGACTCCACAGCCATTCCAAGGTGAAGATATCTACGAGAGATAGGATCAAAATTGTATGGCTGCACGTCCTGGAGAACAGAGGCTTACATTATAAAAATATGTAATTTATTTACAAGCTGTATCTATAGAAATACATTATAAATTATTTTATTACTTAAAGCATCATTATATATAGTTTTATCAGAGGATTTCTTAAACTGGTCTCTGTGCAGTCCAGTGTCCCGTAGGCCTTTGCTTGAAGCAATAAGGAAGATCACGTTACTATAAAATACATTACAAATTATTATATAGTAAATTTGTTTCCTATGTATATTGCAAGTGATTTTACTATAGAAATGCACAGCCCATTATTTTACGCTTGCGGCCACATCACATTGAAATACCAGTCCTCGCACGACCTCCAAAGTTAACCAACGACGATCCTGGTCAGTACCTAGATGGGTGACCACTTGAGAATTCCAGGGGCTGTAAGCATGGGCGTGCGGGTGGTGTAATGGATAATGGCTCAATATTATTAACCGGAGAGCCGCGTTCCAATTCCTGTTGGGTTCGTTATATTCACTTACGCGCAAATACTCCTGGAAAAGGCATGAATCTACCTCTTCTCCCTCCAGTCAATTAGTTAGACTTGTATCGCTAAATAATTATTATCGCTATAAGAAAAACTTACATACTATATTTTCTGGCTTTAAATAACCTGCAAGGGTTGATAAGTAGTAGAAAACGAATCGCTCACTCATGCACAGAATCTTTTCATGTATTACAAATGACATTACTGTAGAAATGCATTGTAAATTATTTTCTTTTCCAGATGCAATGCAAATTGTGTCCATATTGTTTATTTAACCTGTGATAGGAAATGATGAAATAAATACGTGAAATATTAAATTCACTTCCATGAGAGAGAACAAACTATGTAATTGCATTTGAAGCTTGTGAATATTTTGTATTGTTTTATCTCAGCCAACCGACTATATCGTTACTCGATCACTTATTTATTCACACAAAGTATGAGTATATACTCTACAGATTGTAGCTTCAAAATCAGACGAAAAAAGATCATCAATGGTAGATAATTTCAGACAAGCATCTTCAAGAAAGAATATTGCCTAAAGTTATTGTTCGTGCTAAGGTATTCAAGTAAGCATTACGAACAGAATAGAGCTACACACACACACACACACGCACACACACACACATATATATATATATATATATATATATATATATATATATATATATATATATGTATGTATGTATGTATGTATGTATAAACAAAATATTGGTGGGACTAACAGACTACCTACAAAAAAAGGAGGAATACTAATAATAACATTTGAAAGAGCCAAGAAAAAAAAACTTACGTTAGAAAAAAAAATCAATTTAAGAAAGAAAAGAAGACCACTATATACAGTGCTGTTCGATAAAAGTGACTCACCTGATTTTTTTTTTTTTTACTAAATGTTCTCTTCTCCGATGAAACGAAAGTTGAGCTAAATTCAAAGGATAAGCGATCTAAAATCCGAAGAAGAAGCTTTGAAAGCTCTTTGAATTTAGCAGTAAGTAATGTCAAGCATCCATTCAGTATAATGTTCTGAGGATGCTTTTCTTTTCATGAAACTGGTTTCTTAAAACCTATTGAAAAGACCCTCAGGAGTGAGCAGTACAAGAGAATTTTAGAGTCTTGTCTGCTCCCTTCTGCTGAAAGGGTGCAAATCGACCCCACCAAGCTCATTTTTATGCAGGACAAGGCTCCCTGTCACAAATCAAAATTGATGAAGGAATACTTTGATGAGAAGCAGGTGAGTGTTATGACATGGAGCTCCAATCTCCTGACCTCAACCCCCAAAAAATATAATGAGCATGTTGCTTAACTGCTTTCTCGAGAGCCTGTACTTTATAATGCTCCATTTTTTTTATTATTATTATTTTAAAAATATATTTGGTAATTAAATTAAGCGGGATTTATATATGTATGTAAAAAAAAAAATTATTTTTTATTTTATTTTTGTGTTCTGGATATTAATTTTAAATTTTTAAATTTTTTAAATTTTTTCTTTTAAAAGGGCGATTACTTGTTTTTATTTATTCGTATTTAAATAAAATAAAAAAAAACATTAATTTATATTCAAAATAAATATTAATTTACATTTAAAATAAACCGTAACTTATATTAAAAATTGAAAATTAAATCTAATCTGAATCAATATATTTAAGCATATATTTATTTTTATGCTTATATATAACCACCAATTTATTTCCTTTTCCGTTATAAGCTTTTGGCTTTTGCTATAATATTCCAGTTAATAGAAGGGGAATATCTTTATTTTTTGCTTGCCAGAAATATAGAGAGAGAACAGTGCTGTTTCTGTGTCTTATATCACTTAGTCATTCGATTATAGTAAAGGATTTTCCATGGAAACAAAATAAAATTTAACATCGCTACCGGAACGTCTGCTTTCTTGGTATACAATATTATCGGTCAATCATTGACCGTTTAAGGGACAAATCGTATTTTTTTCGGCAGTTACATTTATGTTTAGAAGAATTTACGTTGCCTTTGTTGAAAATATATTTGTTTAATACAATGTTCTTATGATGGGAGATGGGTGTCTCTATGTTATTAACGCAGGTACAACAAGATCTTAACATTATTTTTGTTAAAAATCTTTTTTTGAGTTGGCGAATGGTTGAAGTGCATATGAATAGAATTTAGAAAATTTCTTCCGATACAAGTTTCGACATTACACTTAAAAGGTGGCTTAAACCATATAATGTTGCATTTACGGTGTTTCTGCTTATTTTTACCTTCTTTGTTTTTTCTAGACACTCTAAAATTATTTCATGAATGCTTAGCTCTAAAGCCATTATTATATTTAATTTTAGACTTATCAAATATTTCCTCATTTCTGGCTTTTATTAATAGCTCTGTTATACTACACCGAGCACTGCTTAATTAACACCAGCACTACATGTGCAACACACACACACACACACACACACACACACACACATATATATATATATATATATATATATATATATATATATATATATATATATATATTTGGTTGGATAGATGTGACGATCGCTAAAGCGTGAAACCCAGGGTCACAAACTCACATCTATCCAACCAAATATGTTAGCTCTATCTCTGATATTGAGCGCTTTCTAATAAGTACCGCGCATATAATATATAAATAATTATACATATATATATTTATTTATATTTATATACACTTTTCACACACACACACACACACACACACACACACACACACACACATATATATATATATATATATATATATATATATATATATATATAATAAAAAGGCTTAAAAACTAATACTGCATGGTCATAATTTATTACATTGGAATCGTAAATACGATCCAATTCATCAGACCTACAAATTCAAAAAGAAATCAGAAAAAATAACCCCAGGAATAACAAATAAAATTTAGTGAGAGTGTATGTATGAGAGTGTGGGACAAATGTTAGAGTAAATCAAAGCTATAGGGAGGGGTAACAGATGAGGGAAGAACAGGAAGGTCTAAAGATGAAGGTGGGGATTAAAACAGGGAGTTTTAAAGAGGGGAGTCAAAGACGGTTTAAGTGAGCGAGATACAAATAAATATGAATATTCTCGGATGTCTAATACATTCAGAAATGTATTAGACATCCGAGAATATTCATATATATTTGTATCTGATTCCCATATATATATAAATATATATGTGTGTGTGTGCTTCGAAATTAGTGCATTCTTTTTTTCTTTCCATGAAAGCGACAACAGAGCAGGCAGGTTTTCGACTTTTTCGTCACCACTAGCTATGCATTTTCACCAGCGATTAAAATTATCGTGTATGCTAGCAATATTACGTCTATACTCCTAGCCATTATCATGATCAGAGAAAAACTGCTTTTTTTCCGTCTTTTTTAATTTTTCTATATTTCTCTACTTATCATAATATCGTGTATCATGGCATTGTCCAAGCAGAAGTTATCTTAATGTCGATGTGTTAAACAACTTCTGATTACTAAAATACTTCATATTTTTAAGCAGAACAATATTATTTTCCAATATTGTTTTAGATATAAGTGCCTGTGATTGCTTCCCTGCCTACTGCGCCAGTCTTTCAATAAGTTTTGGATTATCTACTTGTATTCAATTATTCTGTGAGGTTTTAGAACATTAAGCTGTAACGGCTCTGTCATCTTTACGATGGCTGACAAATTCGCGCAACCATCTGTATCAAAGCTTGCATAAAGCCCGGCAAATTTTCAACTAAGTCCCTTAAAATATTTGATCAGGCTTCTGGAGAATTTTCGATCAAACAGAGTTTTTGAGTGACTAACAGATTTCAAAGCCGGTCGAGTGTCTGCTCATGGCGATGAGTATTCAGGGGTGACCAATCATCAATCCAATTTGAAAAATGAACCTATGACTTGTTTTCTTCATTCCTTTATCTCATTTTCTCTTTCTCTTTTTATTTTATTTTTTTTTTCTAGTTCTTTCTTTCTCTCTTTTCTTTCTGATTCTCTCTTTCTTTCATTCTTTCTTTCTTTCGCTTTCTTATTTGTTTCTCTTTCTTATTTCATTCTTTGTCATCCTTTTTTCCTCTTTCTTTCTTTTTCTCATTTTCTTTCTTTTTCTCATTTTCTTTCTTTTTCATTTTCTTTCTTTCTTTCTTTTTCTCATTTTCTTTCTTTTTCATTTTCTTTCTTTCTTTCTTTTTCTCATTTTCTTTCTTTTTCATTTTCTTTTTTCATTTTCTTTCTTTCTTTCTTTTTCTTTTTCATTTTTTTCTTTCTTTTCTTTTCTTTTTTCATTTTCTTTTTCTTTTTCGTTTTCTTTCTTTCTTTCTTTTTCTCATTTTCTTTCTTTTTCATTTTCTTTCTTTCTTTCTTTTCTCATTTTCTTTCTTTTTCGTTTTCTTTCTTTCTTTCTTTTTCTCATTTTCTTTCTTTTTCATTTTCTTTCTTTCTTTCTTTTTCCCTGTCTCTCTCTCTCTCTCTCTCACACACACACACACTTTCTCAGTATGTCATTAACATATTTATTACTTAATCTCTTCTTAACATATTAATCCTGATCTGTTAATCATGTAGACTCCCTATCGTTTATAGGGCCACAGATTCACTACGCTAAGTGTTGCTACTGTGCTTTCAGTAGCAAGTGGGGTTTTATGCTGTGGAATTGCTAGCCACACGCCTAATCGGTTTTGAATTTAGAATTATTCTTCTCCTAGACACGTTTCCAACCAAAGCTAGAGATGCCAGCTTGCTTGGGGCTGAAGGGAGACATTCATGCATTTGCCTAGGATATGTGAACGAAAACAAACGCAGCCGTTCTTAACAGTCCCTATCTCTCAATATTTTCTCTTTCTTTGTACTTTAAATATGCGTCTCTATTAAAACAAAACTAGCTCCCCCATTTTTTTTCTCTCTTTCTCATATTGTATTTGATT